ATGGAAGAAATTTTATTTTATGAAAAAACATCAAAATTGTCTATATTTGTCTTCAGCCTTCCTGACCTTCACTGCAATTACACTGAAAAAAAAAGTAAATGGAGCTCCAACTTATTTGGTCACAAATAATTTAAGTTTGTCAAACTTACTTTATTTACGTTTGTTTAACTTGACAATAAACTAACTAAATTAGCTTAGCTGAGCCTCATTTGATGACTTGTGACCAATTAATTGAATATATTTAAGTTGGCTCACCTGTTCTGTTTTTTCAGTGTAGTCTGGTTGTTTGTTTAGTCCAGTGGGAAGCTGAACTTCTACCCAGTATAAAGTCTTTTACAGATTCTAACTGGTATTTTATTTTGTTCCAGGATCATCCTGGACTTTTCTCTGTCCATTTTCCAATCAGATTTGAGCAGCTTTCTGGTCCCCACAGCATGATGCTGCCACTGCCATGTTTCATGGTGAGCATGGTGTTTTCAGAGTGACATGCAGTGTTTTCATGTCGGTCCAACGGTTTAATTCTGCTTTCATTTGACATGATCATGTTTTCCTAAACATTATTTTGAAGTCATGGAGTAAAGTCAAGCTTATTTGTTTAGCACATTTCAGTAAAAAGGCAACAAAAATCACAAGAAACAAACAAAAACATAAGTAATGAAAAGTTGCAATTAAAGCAGGAATTAATGTATTTTCCAGTTATTATTAATCAAAAGCAGCTCTAAAAAGGATTTTCAGCCTTGACTTAAAGGAAATCAGTTTTTCGGCTGTTTTTCAGTTTTCTAGAAGTTTGGTCTAGATTAGATTAGAAAAAGAGCCACTTCTAGACTATAATATGTGAAAATTATGAATGATTCAGTAAGTTAAAGTTCTGTTATGTTCTCACCTTTAAGATGCTTTAGATCTCAGTTTACCGTTTTTGTACATTCATCAGATACTCATGCTTACTTACAACAACCTACAAAGCAGCTAATGAAATGCATTTAAAAGAAACAGAAGACTTAAGAGTAGGAAAGTGTATTTGGTGTGTTTTGTTGTCATTATTTAGTTCCACAGTTCAAAAGAAAGAAGCAACCCTGAGCTGCAGCTGCAGAAAGAAGCCCGTCTTTTATTTTTTAAGGAGAGGGCGGCGTTCCTAAATTGAGGTCTGACAGTCGGATATTGATTGAGCTGAAACCTTGGACGCTGCAGAGCCCACACCTCTCCCTCGGTCTGCTGGATTTAGCATTGTTCTGGAAGAGACTGACCTTCAACTTGACTGATGGATAGTCCGTTAGCAAAACAATGGCTGAGACCTGAAACTTTCCTGAAGAAAACATGAGTTTTTAATAGTCGAACTGGGCTACAATTTTTAAAAAATGGAAAATTGAAGGTCGATTCAAGAGATTTAGTTAAAAATATATATTTTAACATGTTTATAGTTATTTTCTTTCCAAATAATAAGTGAGGAAATGAAAGAAAATAGTAAGTGTAAAACTTTTGAGCAACATCTACTGAATTCTGCTCTTTAAATCAAGGAAATCTGACAAGTTTTAGATTTTGAACTTAAATTTGTTTTTGTGAAAACAGTAAAATGTGTTTCTCCAAGAGTTGAGAACTTAAAAAAACACAAAGAAGAAATACGCGGGAGTGGGAACTATTTCCCAGGATGCTTAGCGGCGGCTCTTTGCGTCTTTTCTTGCACCGTGAGGGAGATGGATCTGCGTTACGTTGTGTTATTGAAACAAATCATTTTAATGAGAAAAATGTTTTCTCACACTATTTAAGCCCTGATAAAAATAATTCTGAGGAGAATTCAGTGTAAAGCTTAATAAAATTCATTATTAGATCAGATATTTTTGTTCAACCAAGAATTTAAAATCATCCAGCATTAATTAAGAAGTTATTTTTTCTTGATAATGTGATTGAAAATGTTACAGAAATGTGTCAGTGAAGACAGTTTTCCTGCCTAATGTGAAATTATTTGGTTAAAATTATAAATGAAGATCAATGTGCTATAAGAACTATAAAAACAATTTGAGACAACACTTCTGTTAAATCAACTTAATAAACTTTAATTTCTGAATGAAACCAAAACAATTTTCTAATTTTCTTGACTTGCATTTTCAAGGCAGCAGGTGAACAGTCATTTTTAATAAGGCTCCTCAAAATGTTTTACAGTGTAGAACCATATTGCTGCAACAGTTTATATCAAAGTATATTCATGTGTCAGAATGGCCCAGTCAAAGTCCAGACCTGTGTGTATACATCAGAGATGTAGTGGTAAGACTATACAGCTTCTGTTTGTTTTTTGTCTGAACTTGATATATTTTGCAAAGATAAATTGACAAAGTTTCATTAAAACATTCTTAGCAAAAAAAAGTGATTTTTATAAATTAACTCAGAAAAGCTGAATTTTTATTGATTTTTATACATTAAACATCAATAAAATCCTCTCTTCTTTAATATGTTTTATACGGACAAAGATCAACCGTTTTGATATCGTTGATATTATGTTTTTCTCTTAATGTGCAGTTTAACCCAAACACTTCTGCAGGTTTTCACTCTTTAATGCGCTGAAGGTTGTTTAACAAGCTGAAGCTGCAACAACGTGTCCTGTGATTAAATTTGCAACTTTCTTCCATAGAGATCCGCCATTCTCTTTATGCTCCTGCCTCTCTAATACTTGTACAGGTTTTTCTTTCAGGTTACAACTGAACAAAGACAAAAATGTGTTTGAATTCTAAATAAAACTCAGACTTTTAATTCCTATAAAATGGCTTAACCTTTAAAATAAAGTTGATCAAAAGTAAAGGCAGCACCTGATTTAGCTTTGTGGTGCAGATCCTTGGACCCACCCACTCCCACTCTGATGCTTTGTGGTTCCCGCTCAGCGCTGCGACCTTCTGAGCAGGAATCAACACATCATCAGAGCTGTTTCACTTCCCATCCTTGACACCACATTTTTCGACTTCGGCGGTGTTTGTTGTCACTTTCTTTTCACACGCTGATGCTGTGAAGTGTTTTCTCTCTGCATTATTCATGCCTCTCTCTCCCGCTCTCGGCTCAGGGTGAAGGTGGAGAGGCTCTAGGCTTTCATTCAGGGAGTGAAGCGCCTGAAGGTTGCTGCCGTTCAACAGCACCCTCTAGAGGCCAGGAGCGGGAAATGCTTTGGAGGAAAGGCTGTGACTGAAAGAGACTTTAAGAAAACCAAAAACTCTGATTATTTATTGAAATCAGGTGGAATACAAAGACCAGATGATACAGATTAGAGGACATTTTATAGAAATTGAAAGTGTGATTGTTATTAACATTTTTCTAACTCTTTCTTAGCTTGAAGGACTGGTTTAACTCTCATTTAAGAGAGGAAACCAAATTCAGGATACATATATTACTTTATATACAGAAGAGAATTAAGGCCATTGGGAAAAAAAAAATACTTTTTTCTAAAAAGTCTGACTTTATTTTAATCTCAGAATTCTGACCTTTTTTCATATAATTCTGATTTTAATCTATTTTAATCTCAGAATTCAGATTTTAATTTCAGAGTTTTGAATTTTTTTCCTCAAAATTTTGACTTTTGATCTCAGAAGATTAAAGTCAGACTTTTATTTTATTTTAGTTACTGTATTTTTCCGACCATAAGCCGCTACTTTTTTCCCTACGCTTTGAACCATGCGGCTTATAGCCCGGAACGGCTTTTCTGTGGTTTTTTCTTCAACTGCCCACCAGGGGGCTCTTTAGCAGGAAGAGAATCATTGGAAGTCAGAATTAGAAATCAAGGAAGAAAGTGCTAATTTTCATTTAGAACAAGCACATGCTACCAGAAATTTCTTCATGTGATGCTGCTTTTAAGTTGAAGGCTCTCGATCTGACAGTACAGGCCAGTCAAAAAAAAAAAAACTTTAAAAAATTCTAATTAGAAAACATGAAAAATAAATAAAAATTTTCCAATAAAAAAACATCAAAAATTTAGAAAAGTAAAACGTTCTTTATCAATCCGACTGCCTGTCAGATTCTCACCCATCGTCTCATTTTTCATTTAAAGAAGTCAAGGAAGAATTTAAATATCTTGGAGATTAAATCCCCAAATATCCTCTCAGCTTTTAACAAAGAACTTTGAGTTTCTCTTTGAGAAATGCAAATCTATCATTCGAAGGTCAAGCTTGCCTCAACCTTGATTGCGTTTCTCTTTTTCTTTTTCACAATATTTTCATCTTGATTAGGAAAAGTTTGTTAAATCGTTGGATCAATGTAGAGAAAATCGAGAATCAATCACTGAAAGACTCAAGAGACTGACCCAACTTTACCAAATATTACTGTAGCATTCAGAATATTTAATTCTATTGTTGGTGAATTAAGATTGTGGATTTAATCGGACTGGATTGGATCTGAAATGTTGCACTGGGATGAATGGGATCAATAATACCGTCTAAACTTTGTACAGAGTTTGTAAAATTTATTTCCGTCCTCAGAAAACTAAACTCTGGATGTTCCCGTTGTGCGGAAAGTAGGTTGTTTTGAAATGACTTGTTTGCAGAGAAGGACACTGATCTCTCTTAGCTGAAGATTAACAGTTGATATTGATCCTGTTTCATCTGGTTCACATCAGCAAATCTGCAGTTTTGTCCTCTGAACATTCAAAAACAGGCATTAGTGATCGAGTCAAATTCATATATTCACCAAAAAATAAGAAGAATACCAGAGTAATCAAAGAAGGAAACAAATAACAGCAAGTATTTGTTGTTTTATCTGTGCTTAAAAGTAAAATCAGACCAGAATTTGCAGATTAAATCAAACAGAATCAAAGTCCAGGAGTCAGATTTTTAAAACCTAACATGGTGGATTTAAAACAACAGACTGTGCTCCTTCTTTACCAGAACACAGAAAGTGACTCTTGGTGAATGAAATACTTTGACAATGGGGTGCTGGACTGCTGATCTGGTCCAAAAATCTACCATAAACAAGGATTCTGACCCTTTGCTCTTTGCTGTCCTCGTCAATGATTGACGAATAACTGAGACGTCTTATTTATCCTCCCAGCTGAGCGACACCGTAAATATACATCAGAAGGGGCGGATGATGAGCTGCTAGTCTGAATCCTCAACATGGACTTATACAAGGCAGCTCTTCTGTTTGGAGCCTTCATCTGCTCTGGTAAGAAACAAAAATGTTGATTCCTTGAACCAAGACTTAATAAGATGGTTTAAACCCGATTTCACACAAACAGGATTGGATCAAATACTTCTGGTTTGTATTTTTTTGTTTAAATGATTAAAAATGTGATGTATAAAGCTACCGCTATGACATACGGTTACCAAGTTCTCCTTTAAGCAAAGTGCTTTCCACTGGATGTATTCCATTCATCGAATCTGACATCTAACCTGCTAAATCAAATAAAAATTCAAATAAAATGGTCACATTCTTATGTATTTATTGCAGCTTGCAGCTGTTTTGTTCCAGTCCTGTGTATCTTTCTGTCCTTGTCCCTTTAGTACTCTGGAAGTATGGAGTGTATAAAGCCTCTGTGCAATCTTTTTTTTTCTCAGAGCCTTTGCAGGAGGATTTTAAATCGCTGATTCGCTTTCAAATAAGTCAAAGAGGAGACATTTGATCGGATTACTCAAGCAGAAAGTAGAGAATCATGTTGTATGTAGCTTTTTCTTTTGCATAAAAACCCACTTTAGAGTTTCGTACAACTCAACTTTTGTTAGAAAGAAAATAATGACTTTAATTTGTATTAAATCTTCCATGTTTCAGAACAACACAGCTTTTAGGCTGCATTTTTTTTAGTTACACCATTTTTTTGGTGAAATAATTAAACATTAGGCATCTTAAACCAATGAACATTAGAGTAACAAGTGTAGTTAGACAACTTAAGTCTCAGAAACTATCTTTAAATTAAAACTAATCTTCTGCCCATCTTGCAGAAAAAATTCAAGACGTTTTGAAAGGACTAGATGTTTTTTTTTTCATGATATGTGAAACAAAAGAGAAGAGTTGATGGCTCACCATACCTGAAATCAGATTATTTTTATGCAGTTAACAGATAATTTAAAAATGATTAACAGTGAGTTCTATGATGCTAACTGGTCAGTGTAGCTAAATGCTACTAGCTTAAACAAATAACAAAAAAAGAGATGACAGTGAATGAAAACCTTAATGTAATTTGGATAAATGTGATTAGTTAAGTGAATCTAATCCAGTTTTATTAAAATACTAAATCTATTATTGTTATTATTATCTTTTTTTTTTAGCTAGCAGTCTTGGCTAGCATGCTAGCAGGAAAGCAGAAATGTATCTTATGAGAGAAGCATGAAGAAAATCAAACTGTTGTTTTAAATGTTTTGCACCTGTTATTATGAAAGTTCTGTTATTTATTGCATAATTTGTGAGTTAAAAATTAGTTTTGTAACCTGGAGTCGGACATTTTGTTCACTGATTATTCAAAACATTCAACTTTATATGCAGAGCTGAAAAGTTTAAGTGCGACAAAAAAAGAGACAGACAAAAATCTGTAAGATTCTGGAGAAATGTGATTCAGAAAACATCTTTACATTTTCATTTTAGAAGTGTTAGGAAATGTCTGAGTGGTTATAAAAATTAGAACATTTGTTAGGAATTTAAAGTGTGTTGAATGAAACCCTGAACATTTAGAAACCTTTGTATGACTAAACTTGCCATCACATTTTCTTACATAACGAGGGTCCACTAGGTCATGGACCTGCAAACAAATTTAGATAAAACAGTTCATGAATTGTCTCAAACATCCCAGTTTAGCTAGAATATTTCATTTTTTTATGTATCATAGAATGAAAGACTCTTTGGTGTCCAGCAAACAGTTCTGTTGTTATTTTAGGTCATTTTTAATGTAAGTAGCATATATTGCATTAAATATGCAGAGTATAGGAATAAATAAGCACTTTTGTGTCATTTATGCTGTCATTACTACTTTTCGGTTCATTAACTTCAAAAGAAGTAAAAAACGAAGAGTAAAAGCAGATAATGCGTCCAACAAACATAAACTCAGCAGTTTTTTAAATCTTCTACCTGAAAATATGTACTTCTGTTGAACAAAAGTTGACAGATAAGATCGTCTTTCATTAATGTATAACATTTTTATTTTTTCTTCCAGTTGGTGGAACAGAAGTAGACGGTTACTCCAAAACCGAAGGCGCGTGGGTTCTCTCTCTGAACAAGAGACAGTACATGGTAAACAACGTAACCAGATGTGCAGCCAAATGTGAAGCTGAAACGTCCTTCACGTGCAAGTAAATCGTCCCCTAAAAACTCCCATCTTCTCCAGTCTCTGCAGTAAATTTAAAGTTTGATGCGTCTTTATCTTCCAGAGCTTTTGTTTATGTGGAGAAGGATCAGGAGTGTTGGACAGCAGCAGCAAATTCAAAGACGGAGCTTGTTTTGCGCAGACAGAGCTCCGCTTTGTATGAAAAAAAGAGTAAGTTGCTTTTTGCTTTACTAAAGATGTTTCCCACTTATTACACTTGTCGTGTGTTAATGTTTGCTCTGTGGTGCAACAGCAGTGACGTTTGAGCCACGTCTGCAAACAGCAGCGATCAATGACTTTGCTCTTGATTTGTGGACTCAAACATCACTGTTTGGTACCAGTTGCGTGATTCTGTTTGGTGCCAGTTGCGTGATTCTGTTTGGTGCCAGTTGCATGATTCACTCTACAAAACAAACAAACAAAACAAAACTACTTTGTTTTGTCTAGAATACCTCCTGGAGTGCATCAGTGGAAATGGAGCAGATTACAGAGGAACCAAAGACAGAACAAAAACAGGAAAGCTGTGTCAGAGATGGGATGCAAAATTTCCACACAGACCCAAGTATCTATTCACAGACTCCAGATTTATTCCACTTACAGTATTTGATCATTTTATATCTTTTTTTCTAACGGTTCCTTTTTTGTCTCCTGAAGTTACTCACCACAAACTCATCCCCTGAGTGACCTGGACTCAAACTTCTGCAGAAATCCTGATTCGGATAACCAAGGTCCCTGGTGTTACACCACTGATCCAGAAGTCCGCTGGGAACATTGCAATGTCCCCAGCTGCACCGGTAGGCTTAAAGTAAAAAAAAAAACAAAAAAACAATAGAGCAAAGACTCCTTATCATATGTGAGGCCTCTGTGTTTTATTACACACAGAGTTTTGTGTGCAAAACTTTGCTATATTCTGCTAATGTTGAAAAAACACAATTTCAGTTAGAGGCTAGAGGAGTCAACACAGATCATACCAGAAACCTTGATTTAGGGTAAAAGTCGGCAGGTTTAGGGATTATCTGGACCCGTTGAATGACGAGTCAGTCTAGGACAGTGGTTCTTAACCTGGGTTCGATTGAACCCAGGTTAAGAACCACTGGTCTAGGAGAATAGGGGAAGTGGCTGTGGCTAGTGGCAACAACACCGCCAATGTTGAAAACACACAAATAAGAAATACAGTTGAAAATCCCATGCTAATAAGTTTGTCCATGTGATAGGGTCATTAAAAACATACAGCGCCATGATCCTCTGACTACTTCCTGTCGTCTTCTTCTTCATGGTTTGTTCCAATAACATCAGTTGTTGATCATGTGACTTGTGGTGCAAAAAAGTGTTTCCATTGCAGGTTTGTTAAAATTCGGCAAAATTTTACAGGAAAACAAGAGTTTTTTCAAAATAAGTGCGTTCCAAATTGTGCGACTTTATTGTCACTGGAAACTCAGTTAGCCTTTCGCTGATGTCAAAAAAACATAATTTCGCAATTCTGGTGTTTCCATTAAATAAGAAATGCAATTTAAAATGACGTGAATAATACCCTCACGCGATGTCATTAAAAAAACCGTGACACGATCTTCTAACTACTTCCTGTCATTTTCTTCTTCGTGGTTTGTGTAGCAACATCCAGTGATGAGAAAAACGTTTTTTTAAATAAACCAATTTCAATGAAGCTGATAAACACTTCATCCTAGCACAAAACCTTTTTTTTCTTTTAGTGAAAACCATGTCACATTTCCACAAAGCAAATTTATTTTCCAATTTGCACAGTTTTAAGGTAACAGCTAGAAATTCTTTACATTACTGGGAAAGAACGCATTTCTTTAAATATTTGAAGGCAGAAATCTGAGAAAAATATTAGAAATCAAAGTTTTCACCATTATTGCAATTCAGAGTCTCTCTTTTGATGTTTTTGTTTCATAACACTCCTAACTTCTTCAGTGGGTGTCAGACCTGTAACTCCATCTGGTTATTTTACCACATGAACAGTTTTTCATACCTTTTGAATGACGGTTACTGTTGTGTGTGAGAAGAAACTCAGGCTAAACATGTCAGAATCTAATTAGCATGAACAGCGACTTCAAAGTTAAGCAAGAGCATTTCTAAAGTTGAGGTGGAATGAAAACATCACAAGGGAGAATAGGGGAGAATATTTGACTGGGTTAAAAAATGTCAACCTTCTGACTGGTTTGCAGAGGACTGCATCGTCTGCAGCGGTGAGGACTACAGAGGAAAAACCTCCACCACTGAAAATGGCTTCACCTGCCAGCGCTGGGACTCCCAGAAACCTCAAAATCACGGCTACAACCCTTCAACGTAAGACCAAACTGACCATGTTTAATTTTAGTCTCAAATACGTGTGATTTAGGGAATAAAATAAATCTTGTTGTAGTCTTCCAGATAAGTTCCTGGAGGAGAACTACTGCAGAAACCCAGATGGAGATCCGCGGCCGTGGTGCTTCACCACCAGCCCGTCCAAACGCTGGGATTTCTGCTCCATTCCTCGCTGCAGTGAGTCCAAACATTTCTCTTTATTTGCTCCGACTCTTCCCAATCCTGTGCATCCTGTGAAACTCAACTATTTTATCAATTTCAGAACACAATCTTTATTTCTTATACTTTACCGTGAGAAAACACTAGCCTTATACTTTTTCACATTGTTGGAAGTTTATGTGGGAGATTTTAAACAAAGCAGAAAGGAAAATGATGCATGGCTTTCAAAATAATTTACAAGTAATTTTTAATTCTTAGCCCTAATATTTTTTTCTTAGTCTGGCCCTTTTACTCCACTGAACAAATGCAATGTATCCATAAATAAAACCATGTTGCATATTTCCTTCCACTTCACTAACTCTACTTTCATTGGTCTGTCCCATAAAGTATTTAAAAATTATACATAGTAGTTTGTAGAAAAACTCCAGGTGTATGAGCATCTTAGAAAGCCGTTTTCCATTACTTGTCCCTGAGCTCTGCTGGTTTCTTGTTTTAGCATCGGAGCCTCCCACCATCGTCCCGGAGACGACCTGCATCACCGGCGAGGGTCAAGCGTACCGAGGAACGATCGCCGTCACGGAGACGGGTAAAACCTGCCAGAGCTGGGCGGCCCAGACGCCCCATAAACACAACCGCACACCTGAAAACTACCCCTGCAAGTGAGTGAGAACAAAACGCTTCTTAAATACAACGATGTGAATCGGCTTAGAAATATTAGTGGGATTTATTAACGCTCATGACGGAAGCAGAGAGCAGACATTTTCTGCATGTAGAGACGATTTTCTCGAGAAAACAAAGTTTATTTGAGATCACAAGATGATTGGTGTGTTGAACCTGATTACATCCTTCAAATGCCTCCAAATATCTCGAGAAAACCTTTGAGAAATTAACTCGCCATCTCACGAAAACTGTTTAGCTCGAGAAAACCGTTGGCATGTTGCCTCATTATTTCGGAAAAATAATCGGATAATCGATATGTGGAAAATGTCCATTCCCAGCTTCAGTAGCTCACGCCATTAAAAGCCCTAAAAACATTAATAATTGCTTTGTCTGCGTTCTTCTTTTTCAGAGGTTTAATCAATAATTACTGTCGTAATCCTGACAACGAAAGGAGGCCCTGGTGCTACACCACCGACTCTGAAACTCGCTGGGAGTACTGCAGCGTGCCTCGCTGCGGAGACGCTCCAGATCCGGGTACAACAAAAAACAAAACATTTCTCACTTAAATTTAACTCCTAGGATTAAAATCCACTTCTGCAGCTGAACACAGGAAACATTTAGAGTTGGATAAAGAAAAGTAAGGCCAAATATTGTGAAAAAGTGGTTTCTCCGTGCAGCTGAAGGCGTGGTTCCCCCTGAAGAAGACGAAGACTGTTACGAAGGGAACGGCAGCAGCTACCGGGGAATAACGTCACAGACGATCAGCGGGAAAAAATGCCAGTGGTGGAGTTCACAGACGCCTCAAAGACACAACAAAACTCCAGAGAGTTTCCCCTCAGCGTGAGTATTAACCGAGCAGTGATGGTAAATAATACATGCATTTTATTAAATATATTGATTTACATTTTTTAGATTAACTGCCTCCACTCAACAGAAGTCTGAAAAACCTTTAAAATACAGTAGCATAATCTCACACTGAAACATTTAAGTCAAATATGCACATAAGAAATAATACTTTACTCAAAATAATAATGTCAAACCTTTTTGTACTGTTGCTACACAATAAAAAATAATAGTCCAAATTATCCTCAATCACCAAAGTGCAACGTTTCAAAAAGTTGAAATGACTTGCAGGCCACAAAAATATTATGTTTAATATTAAATTTGTAAGTAAATTAATAGTAAATATGCCTTTATATTTTTGTTTACCTTTTACCGTAACTAAAAATGAAATATGTTAAACAACATATTGAGTTGTTGTAAAAATGATTTGGAAATAAGTGTTTATTTAAAATCTAAAACTCTGATCTATTTAAAGCATAATTTAAATGTTTTATGTTGCATTTGTTGTGTAGAAATTGTTAATAGTTGTGACTCGATTTAATATTTAAACAAATAGCAATTATTTAGATGGGACTTTCTCCCTGATTATTGTACTGTAATGTTCTGCTTAGTGAGGTAACCTGTGTGAGGTTACTTTATGACTTTATTTTACATTCTGGTGTGCCAATATGTATAAAGTTTTAAATTTTACTTTTTTAATGTAAGCCACAATAACCAATAATCAGATAATAGAACATTACCTGATTACATTTCCTTTAGATTCAAACTAAAAACTCACCATAATAAATGAAACATGGAAGAATATATTTTATGTGTGTTGATGAATTTGAAACTGTAATGTTTGCTACTGGTTTTCTCAATGCTTTCTGTCTTTTATGACTTTGTGTTTTTATGATGTGAAACATTGTTGATGAACTCGATCGATTCATTGGACATAAAGCGTGAAGCTTTTGTCTTTCAGGGACCTCAAGAGGAATCTGTGCAGGAACCCTGATGGAGACCGAGCGCCGTGGTGCTACACCACCGACCCCGCAGTCCGCTGGGAGTACTGCAACCTCGAAAAATGTTCCCCCAAACCCACAGGAGCGCCAAGCCCAACTCCGGCTCAGACAGGTGCATCTTTTTCTTTATACACCATCCTTGTCGTGGTTTTACTCCTTGATAATTTGACTTTTTTTTGCTACTGTTTCAGACTGTAAGATTGGAAATGGAGCGACGTACAGAGGCCCGACCTCCATAACGTTGACGGGCGTGACTTGCCAGGCGTGGAGCGCTCAGAGCCCGCACCACCAAAACAGCTTCACGCCAAGGACCCACCCTGATAAAGGTCTGGAGGGAAATGTAAGAATCTTTAGAGTTTTTATTTATGCTATGCAGTTTTATTGACAATTATTCACCACTTTTCATTGTTTTTACTCATAAAATCTATGAGAATGTCTCTTTTTCCATGCTTATAATGTAAGAAAATGTTAAAAAGTTCAAATATTTGTACATGATCTGAATTGTCCAATAAATAAAATTACAAAAATAAACTCATATTATGAGAATAAAATTGTTTGAAATAAAGTTGAAATAACACAAGAACAAAGTCCTGGTATTATGAGAAAAAAGTCATATTTCTATTATTACAACTTTATACTCATATTATTGCAACATTTTCTAAAATTATTTTGACTTTATTCTTGTAAGTCCATAACTTTCTTTTTGTATCATTATGACTTAATTCTTTTATTAACTAAAAAACAATACAGACATAATTTTTGTAATATTACGTCTCTGTTCTCATGCAAGTTTATTCTCATATTATTACAACTTTAATCTCAAATTATTTCAACTTTATTCTCAAATTATTTCAACTTTATTCTCATAACTTTTCTACTTTATTCCCCTAATTGTATTTTTAAATTTTTCTTTGCATGGCTCTGATATTCCATCTTATAATCGTGTATTAAAGGAGCCCTCGTTGCTGTCCGTTTATACTCACTGTGTCTCTGTAAATCTCGACCAGAGCTGCAGAAACCCAGACAACGATGTGAACGGACCGTGGTGCTACACCACTGACAGGAACAAGAAGTGGGATTACTGCCAGATCCCTGATTGTGGTGTGTAAATGTCAATTTGTACCTGGGTTGGTTGCTCAGTATATGACTGAACAGAAAAACCTTCAGTTTTTTTAAAATCACTATGTTCCAAAAAAAACTTCTAGATAACGCCAAACCAAATCAAATTCTCCTCTAGAGTCCTGATTCTAGTCACTTAAAAAACAAAAAGTTGGAGTGTTATGAAACAATAAATGAGTTGGTGACTAAAAGTGAGTTCTAGATTCATAAAGTATAAGGACAAATGTTGGTTCTCCATGTTTGATTCTTGTTCTGGTTTGCTAAATAAACTAACAGGAGTTTCTCTATTTGTTGCTTGGATATTAGAAGTATGAAGCTGTGTATGTATGTTGGTGTAAAGTAATAAGTCCTACACGATTTCTAAAAGTAATAAACTAAAAAGCATAGAGAAATGACAACATCAGAAAGTATATGGCACAGATGGCAATCTAAGACTCAGACATGGAGCCATCGAAGGCGGCGACAATCACGCAGTGTATCTGTTTGTTGTGTATGTGAATGCATGTGTATTACCATGATCCATGTAGCTCGGTCTCCCAGGCAACAGTCTGATATGATGGTCTTATCTAAGAGCAAGTCTTTGGGAGCGCTCAGCTCCATGGATGTCTTCAGAAGGGAGTGAGGTGGGAAAGAGTGTCTTGTTTACAAATTATCCAGGAGATTTGAGAAAGGGGAGCCAGCTCAGATGGAGACAAAATGCTTTAGGTCAGGTAAATTTTAAACTACAATCTGCAATCAACAAATGAATCCTGGAAACCAACCATGGATTAAATCTTTATCATTGAAGTTTTAAAAAGCAGGCATTTTTCTCTGTCTGCCATTATAAAATTTGAGGACTGTGAACTGTCTTTGTAGCTGGAATGGACTGTGGGACGCCGGTATACAAGCCGAAGCGCTGTTTTGGTCGTGTTGTTGGTGGCTGCGAGGCCAAACCTCATTCATGGCCCTGGCAAATCAGCCTCCGAACCAGGTGAGCATGAAAAACGAAATGTCAAAAATGATAATGGAACCAAAACACAAGATTTTCAACTTTAAATTATTTATTTTCAAATCAAAGTTTATTTGTATTGCACATTTCAGCAGCAAGGCATTTCAAAGTGCTTTACATAATTAAAAACAGAAACCCAGAGTCATGTAACATTGAATAAACAATAAAAAAGAGAAATAAATAAATAAATTATTCATTACACTTTTTCACAAGACCAATCTAAGGGTGTTTTCACACCTGACAGTCCGATTGAAACCAAAGGTGCAACATTTGTTACATTTTCAGCTGCTGTAGTTCACTTTCACACTGCACTGTGTCAAATGATCCAAACTAATTAACAAACCTGTTCCCCTCCACACCTGTGGTGGCGCTGTACCAAGTCACTGAAGGAAATGTCACAAAAGCTCTGAAGAAGACGCTGAGCACAAATTCCTTCTTCACAAAAAGTAAACAAAAATGGAGCAGTCAGATTTTAGCAGCTGTAGATTTTCTCTTTTGGGTTTGGTAGAAAAAAAAAACACGAGTCTTTTCTCCTGCTAGCGCTGAACTAGCATGTTTGTTTTGATTGTATTTACCCAGAATGCCCTGTGCTATAGTCTGCTTCCTGCTTTTGGATCGGACTCCATTCTCCTTGGTTTTCACATGTGCATCCGAACCGCACCAGAGTTCACTTCAACCAAACTGAGATCTGGGCTTGTAGATGGACCAGAGTTCACTTTTTTGGTTAGAATCAGAGTTCAGTTATGCATTCACACCTCCCCCAACAAACTGGACTTTCTAGATAAAAGAACTGGAGTTGGATTAAAGTGGACTATACAGAGCTGGTGTGAATGGACCCTTGGATAATGAGGTTTAATCTGGCCAGTCCTGCCTATTTTTGGCTCCTTTCAGAATGAACTGTCACTTTAAATCTGCCCCCAATCTCATTGTTTACGCTCGCATGTGAAAATGGCTGCAAACAGATGCGCAATTATGTAAACCTACATCTTTGAAAAACAGAAGTGGAGCCTCCTGCACAACCAATAATAATGCAGCAAGTGGTTTCTGAATGATAAATCAACACAAAACACAGCGCACTCCACGGTTAAACCAGCTGACCAAACGTGCTGGAACAATGCTTGGGTTGCTAGGTAACAGGGTTAGGCTCAGCTGGGGTTGCTAGGTAACGGCGCACTGCCTGTCGAATGTGACTTAACAGCCTGAAGGCTTTTGAAACAAGAACATTAACTCATTGCCAAAAACTGGCTGTTTTTTCAAGCACATGGGCTTTTTTTTTAGAAGCAGTTTAGGCCCAAATGTAAGTACAAAATGTGCTAAATGTGAATTTTGCAACACCTTTACTTATTTCATGATCTTTTCTATTACCAGCAGAGGAATCCATTTCTGTGGTGGGACTCTGATTCACCCACAGTGGGTCGTCACTGCTGCACACTGCCTGGAAAGGTCAGACAACAGAAACTTTACAGCAGTACGCTTGTATAACAAATCCTGTAATTAAAATAACACTGGATGGCTGATTTGCATGGACTTGCTCTGCCGTTGCAGGTCCACACGGCCCTCAGCCTACCAGGTAGTCCTGGGAATCCACAGGGAAGCAGCTACAGAACCATCCAAACAAATACGGCAGCTGGAGAAACTGGTGCTGGGACCTAATGGAGCGGACATCGCTCTGCTCAAACTGCAGAGGTTGGTAAAAGTCTGATCATGATCGTGTCCCAGCGCAGCATGATGTTAAGTCGATTACGTAACCCCATAACTACACACTTTTGTGTTTTCAGCCCAGCTGTTATAAATGACAAAGTGCTTCCTGTTTGTCTGCCAGAAAAGGACTACATTGTTCCCAGTGGAACAGAGTGTTATGTCACTGGTTGGGGTGAGACGCAAGGTACGTCACAAGATGCCTTAAGTTTCAAAAAGCAGGCCAACTAAGATCCAAAATGTTCAGAACATTCTCAGCAGATGGGTAAAAACCAAAAAATAAATCAGAAAATGCTCACAGCGGGAAAAAAAGCACAATAAATCAAGACTTGCAATACATCAGGATAAGTATCAAAAATACATAACATTACATTTCAAAAGCTGCAGTATGTAGCTTTTATAATAATGTTTTTACATATTGTTGAAACATATAGTTGAGACCTCCTCTGGCTTCTCCCAGGGCTGGCTAGGACCACCAATCAGAGAGAGGGGGCGGGTCTTAGCGCAGTCAATCATCTCCTTTTTGCTAGTGCTACAGTTTCTCCCTTTCAGCAGATCTTGCTGAGAATGCTAAGGCTACATAGCATGGCCACTGAGTTGTTTCTCCACTATTGGCACATTCAACAACGTGTTCACGAGGTTGATTGACAACGTTAAGACCCTCCTCCAGGCTTTGATGGGTTGTATTTGACTGGGAGCGGTGTATTTCTTCAGACAGTAATAGCATATCAGGAAAGAATTGGAGGAGATCTTTTCACAGATTATCTGTCTCACATTTTACCATTACAACAACAAATAAATACATATATTTTTAAAATAAAAGTTACATACTGCAGTCTTAAAAACTGTTGGGGAAATCTTTTGGGAAGGATAACAGCAGGAATGTGTGTTGCAGGTTCAGGAGGTGAAGGTGTGCTGAAGGAAGCTGGATTCCCTGTGATCGAGAACAAGAAATGCAATCAGCCATCTTACCTGAGCGGAAGAGTTAGAGACCACGAGATGTGTGCCGGAAACATTGATGGAGGAATCGACAGCTGCCAGGTGCAGAAAGCTTGCATCACTGTACACTCAGGTTTATGTGATCACTTTGATCAGGGCTGTCTAATAAACAATCTAGTTGATTTTAAATCACACAGAAGAAAATGTATGTCATAATTCACCAGATACAAATTTGGAAGTGAATTGATAACTCTGAAAGTGAATTAGTTCAAACATCATTTATTAGTTTTCTAAATATTCATAATTTGTACAGATCAATTATATTGTTTAATGTTGGAGAGATGGTGTAATTAATTTATCTACCTACTTACTGTTCCATTAAGAAGCAGGGCAGGAATGTTATTACTTTAGGGCCTATTTTGATTTGTTTGAAGCAGTGGTTTCTTTTTTGGTCAGTTTCCTACGACGGGGCCATTATAGATAGAAAAATAAAACAAAGGAGAAGTACATTTTCACCAAAATAATCTAGAAAAAACAAGAACATTTTTAGACATTTTTTTATGTTTTGGAAATCACTGCAGCTTAAATTAAGTATCTTTGCTTTTATTCATATTACTAGTTGTTCATATTTTCTGCCAATTTTAGAATTGTCTCATTATTTTGTACCAAACTTAATTGTATTTATTGTTTATCTACCTACGATGTTGTGATTGTTGTGCAGTGCTTTAGTCAGCTTAAGTTGTTCTAAATGTGCTTCATAAATAAACTTTGACTTGAGAAATTTTGAGATTAATCAAAAACCTTCTAGAAAAAAAATCTCTTTATTTTTGACTTTCTGAGCTGACTTTTGGAGCTCATTTTTTTCTAGAAAATGTCTGATATTAATCTGAAACATTTCAGAATATTTTGGCAGAAATTCTCTAATCTTTTTTACATCTACAATGTCCCTTATCTGCCATCGTAGTTATCGTTGCATGATCTAATTCTAAAATATTATACTTTTGAAACAATATTTGCAGCTGTTGTTTTTAGAAGTATCTCTTTATTCCCTTTAACAAGCTGCTAACAAATCAACCACAAGGTGGCGGTATTGTAATAGCTGCTTTTCACTCCCATTTTCAAAACAAATTTTAAAAAATCCCTGAAAATGCTCCTGTTTAAATAATTTTCCAAATTCAGCAAAATAAAATGTAATGTTAACATGTGTGTGGCTTTTTTTTTTTTTCAACAGGGTGACAGCGGAGGTCCTCTGGTGTGTCATGAACAGAATAAGTATGTCCTGCAGGGTGTGACATCATGGGGTTTGGGATGCGCCAACGCCATGAAACCTGGAGTCTACGCTCGAGTTTCCAAGTTTGTGGACTGGATCGACAGGACAGTAAAGGCCAACTGAAATGTCCCAGCATGAAATGTGACTGGAGGTCAAAAACAGCTGCACAACTTCCTAGTTATGTGAGTGTTTTATGTAACAGGATTACATTGTATGATGTTTAGAAGAAACCTGGAACCAATATGTGATTAAGAGTTTATTGATGAAAATTATTCTGTATGCTTTTTGAATTGATTGAATAAAATAAATTACATTGGTTTTGAATCTTTTCATCTTCATTCTTTTATATGCTTTATATTTATCATGTCAAATAAAACATTTTAAAATGTTTTATAGGATAGCATTAATAAACTGACATTTTTCATGTCAAAGCGATTATCTTTTGCAGAGAAGGATTCTTCATAGAATCAAGAAAATTAGGACAATTTCTTTTCATGGTCCTTCCTTCTCACAGCCATCAGCATCTACAACAACTCTGAAAAACTTTGGATTCATTGAGTTACAATATTTAATTTCCCGTAGGATTAGTAATTAGGTTTTAGCTTAATTGAATTTATAACAGGGTCTGCAATAATTTAAACAGCAACTTCCCCCGAAATCCAGCGAAAAACATGTTTGGAGCCGCAAGTGTGAAAATTTGTTCTGCAAAGAATTTATTCTGCTGTTCCTCCGTCTTCATGATGCTGTTTGACTGAAGTCCTCCTGAAAGCGTCTGCAGAACAGCTGAGATTGTAATAAAATGCTCTGGTTTCAACCTGAACACATCATTAGAAGTCTGTTTGTAGTACTAGATTATATAGAAAAGCTATTTTTTCATTTGTGAAAAAA